AGAGATCTGGATGTCACCATATGTTAGCATGCAGGTACAGCAAATAATTAGAATAGGAAATGAAATAATGACTATTATTGCAAAAGGGTTGTAGTGTACAAGTAAGTAGGTATTGCTGCAACATTTCAGGGCATTGGTGAGACCACCTTAGGGGTACTGTGGTAGAGTTTTGGACTTCTCATTTAGAGATATAGATTTCATTGGAGGCAGTTCAGAGAAGGCTCACTGGGTTAATTCTTGGGACAAAGGCCTTTAATGATTCACTCATAGTTCATGGGCATCACTATCCAAATCAATGTCAGAGAATTACTTGCAATGATTTCTCTTCTCGGTCCATTACTGTCACCTCTGGCGCTCCTTGACAATCTAGACCTGGCTCCTTCCTATCCTTTACCAAGGGCTGTCAGTGAGTACCAAACAGTGAGACTCAGCTTTACCACACCACCACTTCTCTTGACCTCTCCATGTTAGACTCTGTTCACATCCAGTGCTGGTTGCGTGGATATTTTCTCCATCTGAATATTACAAAGTCCAAAACCATTGCATTCAGTCCCTGAATATAACTCCACTCTAGTACCCAACACCATCTAAGGGTGTAACATTAAACCAGATATACACAACCTGTGTCACACCTATGCTGAGATCAGCTCCTATCCACGTACTCACATTATTATTCAGACTGTCTATCTCAACGTCTGTAACATCATCTGTCCCCTGCCACTGTTTCCGCTCAAATGATGCAAAGACCTCATCCATCTCCTTTGTTACCCTGAGATTTCACTATTTGAACTCAGCTTTAACGAACCTCCCATTCACCCCAGTGATTTTTGGCCTACTTTGGTTCAGGATTAACACCTCTGTTTCAAATTGGACCTCCTTGCTTTCAAACCACTCCATGGCCTCACCCCTCCCTATCCCTGCAAGCTCTTCCAGGCCCATCTTCCTGATCACCTCTAATTCTAGTCTCTTCCCTTCAGCATCTCCAGTTTTAATTGTTCCACCATGGTGGCTGTGCCTTCAGCTGCCGAGGCCCTAAACTCTGGAATTCAATCTCGACCTTGATTTCATCATTTAAAAGACTCTTCAAAATTACTTTGGATCAACTTTGCATTATTTGCTTATTTGGTTAAGTATTAAACTGCCCCTGTGAAATGTCTGAGTGTTCAGCTATATTTATATCAAATAAAACAAAGAACTATTGATGCTGGAGATCTGAAACAAGAACAGAAATTGCTGGAGAAACTCAGCAGGTCTGGCAGCATCTGTGGGAAAAAAGCAAAATTAACATTTTGAGTCGCCAGACTTGAAACATTAATTCTGCTTTCTTCCCATGGACGGTGTGAGACCTGCTGAGTTTCTCCAGCAATTTCTGTTTTTGCTAAGTGCAAGTTTTTCTTATAGTTAAAAAGAGAGATCTTTTTCTCCAGTTATAGAGTCATACAACATGGAAACAGAGCCCTCAGTCCAACTCGTCCATACTAACCAGACATCCCAATCTGGCCTAGTCCCATTTGCCAGCATTTGGCACATCAGCATTCTGAACCCTTCCTATTTTTCTACCCATCCAGATGCCTTTTAAATGTTATAGAATCATAGAATCCATACTGTGTGGAATGAGGTCATTTGGCCCATCAAGTCCACACCAACTCTCCAAAGGAGCTTCCCACCCAAATGCATGCCTCATCCCCTATCCCTGTAACCCTGCATTTCCCCATGGCTAACCCATCTAGCCTGCACATCTTTGCACTGTAGGAGGAAATCCTCACAGACACCGGGAGAACGTGCAAACTCCACACAGTCACCCAAGATTGGAATCAAACCCAGGTCTCTGGTGCTCTGAGGCAGCAGTACGAATCACTGTGGTGCCTTAATTGTAATTGTACCAGCCTCCACCACTTCCTCATTCCACCCACCCACCACCCTCTGCCTGTAAAAAAAAAGTTACACCTCAGGTGTTTTTAATTCTTTCCCGTCTCACCTCAAACCTCTGCCCTCTAGTTTTGAGCTCCCCCACCCTAGGAAAAAGACCATGGCTATTCACTCTCCACGCCCCTCATGATTTTATAAAGCTCTATAAGGTCATCCTCCGACGCTCCAAGCATAAAAGATCCCAACTATTTAGCCTCTCCCAATAACTTAATAGTTCATTGGAATCACTGTTTGCCAGACCTAATAAACAAAATTTAAATGAAGACCGATTACATCCCAATGACCTGGGTTTTACCTGTGTGCTTTGGAGCAGAAGTCACAGAGATTTGTTGAGCAGATGTGACACCTTCTTTCAGCATTTCCATCGTTGCAAAGATCACAGACTATCCGGTAGTCAGGTCTCTTCAGACTGTCCAGGAAGACTTCATTCTGAATCAGATGGTTACAGGTCAGTTCTCGCAGGCCAGCAGCAGGTACGTTCACTTCATAGTCGCAGGCTGGACACAGGATACAGGTCCAGTCGAGTGACCCAGATTCACCCTCTCGCTGAGTTCTGGGAATTGAGAACTGCTCTAACCCTCTCAGACAGTCCAGGCAGAACGTATGAAGACAAGGCAAGATCCTTGGATCAGTGTAAGTGTTTTTACAAATCGAACACTTTGTCCTGCAGCTCTTTGGTGATTTTGAACTTGGTACAAAAGTACTTTCCTGACTCGCCGACATTTTTGGATTTTTACACACAACTAAATCTAATTCAAATTCCTAGGTGCTATGTATAGTAAACATCTCAAAACCAAAAACAAAACCTTAAGTATTTTAGTTGGCGTATCAACAGTTAAGATCTCACGTGTTAATTATTTCTGCTTTTTACTTATTACGAAGCTGCCTATTGGTCAGTAGGCTCGAAAATACGTGTTACATTTTTTTTCAAAAATCCCAGTCCATTCAAATAAGTGACTAAAAAAATCGAAGACATGTTGCCAGCCACAGGATTGATTTGTACTTCTAATTTGAATATAGGATCAGACTTTGTTGTCAATTGATTAAAATTGCTACATTTCCAAAGACTTTGTTATCAATCATTAAACTATGACAGTGATTGACATTATTGTGCGGACCACCATATGATATGAAACAGCAGATTTCCCGTCAGCTAAACATAAATCAACCCGGTCTCGACTCGTAACACATTCCCTGCTATTCACTCAACCAGAAACACCAACTCCCCCAACTTTCCATAACTTTGTTTCTTTCGGTTTTCACCACTGTACAACTTCTTTAAAATCCGAAAAAAGAACACTGCCAGTCCAGAATAAAGTTTCGAACACAAACTATCCAATCAAACTCGTCACTTTCCGTCTCTCCCCGATTTCCTTTGTGATTGACAGCTAAACAGTCCAACCAGCAGTTTCCAAACTCAGGTCAATCCCAGGAAGTGCATGATCAATGATCAATGCTCAAGAGACAACAAGGTGCAGGGCTGGATGAACACAGCAGGCCAAGCAGCATCATAGGAGCAGAGAGGCTGACGTTTCGGGCCTAGACCCTTCATCAGAAAAGGGGGAGGGGAAGGGGGTTTTGAAATAAATAGGGAGAGAGTGGGAGGCGGATAGAAGAGGGATAGAGGAGAGGAAACAAACAGGTCGAAGAGGCGGGGATGGAGCCAGTAAAGGTGAGTGTAGGTAGGGAGTTAGGAAGGGGATAGGTCAGTCCAGGGAGGACGGACAGGTCAAGGGGGCGGGATG